TGGCACAGGCAGGCTGCACCGCTTCAGTGCCCTGCCTAGGCAGCAGGGCGATTGATAAGGGCAATTATTTCCAACCAGTTCTGGAGGCTTTGAAAAACCACTATGCTGGTGTGTGTAAAAATCATCTGAAGGCAGCTGGGAATGTGCAGGAGTATGTCCCCATCCTGCGAGCAGCCTCTTGGAGGTGAGAGCCCCGACATCCTCCCAGGTGGGGAACTGATCCTCTTCAGGGATGCTCGGTCTTTCCAGCCTGGTCAGGATCAGCCCTGCCAGGAGCCTGCAGTGAAATAGCGTGGATGAACGTGTGCCAAGCCGGAGGTGCCTGGCTCTGGTCAGTTTAGTTTACTAGCACAGCCATTGTTTGCAGATATACCTTTCAATTGCATATGCTCTTTGTTTTATGTGGTGTTATCTATGGATCCTATACAGAATATCATGCTGCCATTTAAAAATAACATCGAGTCGTACTAAACTGGGCTCTCACTACTGTCACATTAGACTATAAGCATGCGATTAAGTCATTTCTCTCAAATTAGGCTTCACAAAAGAAACCTCTGACTGACCCGCTTTTACTCTACTCCATGCTGGTTACACATTAAAACTCATTACTTCAAACCATCTTGAAGGGTTTTTTTGCTGACAGTCACAGAACATTCTAGCCAAAAGTTCTGGACACATCCAAATATGCATGGCTTGTTTCTAGTGTGAACCTGTCTGCTATTAACTTCTAACCGTTGCTTTGAGTTACGACTTTCTTTGCTATATGGAAGAGAAATTGTTGGAAGGTTTCAATTTTGCAAGAGTGATTTCATTTTAAAGACCAGTGGTTTTCTCCGGATCCCGTAAATCTTCACTTACAAATAACCTTGGATTTAAATGCCCGGAACACTGGTAGCCTCTGAAATGGTTCTGTACATAGTGAAAACAACCACAGAGTTTTAGGTCTGTCTGCACCCAGTCTTCAGGAGCATCACACTGCCCACAAATCTGCAAGTGGATTCTCAGTTGCCATAAAAATCGTAATTTAAGGCATGCTTCTGCTGCTTCTTATACCCATGTCAGTTTCTGCAACTGTCCCATCCCCAGCAGAATTGTTGCATGTGGAAATAGGTGTGGAACGCACCTAACATGTCAGTCTGGAAGTTCGTAGTTTCAGGGAGTTTAGGGATGGAAGGAACTGCTAGATCGCTTAGTCTGACATCCTCGTTATGGAAGTCCATTCAGTTATTCTTGTACTGGGTCCAATAAATTGCACTGAACTAAAACGTAGCTTCCAAAAAAGCATCCAGAGGATTTCAAAACATAGGAATCCACCACTCCCCTTCATCGTTGAGACAACTGTTAAAGAAACCTCACTGTTAAATGTGCCTGCTGTCTAGCTTGAATATGTTTACCTTCCACTTCTAGCTTTTCGCTGTTACATGAAGAAGTTCCTTATTATCTCTCATTTTCTTACTGTGAAGACAACTGTGCATTTCAAACCGTTTAGTTCTTCTTTTTCTTTTTGATCAGCTCTGCACAGTAGCTGATCTGCAATAAAAGAGTGTGTAAATCCCTGCCTTGGAGAAGATGCCAGGTAAGAGCCCTTCATTCTGGATGGGCTCAGCCACCACAGCTTCACTGAGGCCAACTCCGTTTGTATTTTCCTGGCAGCAGTGCTACTGAGGATGCCACTAAAGGGCATCCCTGTTGCCAGCGACCACTGGCTGCTTGTTTCCACCCAAGAACATCCCCGTTCCCTTCACTCCGGGTTCCTCTCACCCTGGACAGCCAGTTCATACAAGCACATCAGAAATGGCTTTCATGCTTTGTGGCTGTCTTCAACACAGATGAGATCACTGAGGCAAACAGTTCAGTGCTGCAAGCTCTGCTGGTCCAAGCGAGGGAGTTGGGGGGGGGGGGGGGGTTGCCGGGTGAGAAGAAGGAGGAAAAACGTGCATGGAGCCATCCCCTCAGGATAAAGGCAAGTACTCAATAGTTGCTGGAGGGTGGCTAACATGCCATCAATTCATCTCCTAACTTGCTCTGCAGAAACCAATTTATTTAACCATAGTCTATGTCAAACTCCTCCCAAAGTATACTTTGTCTGACCTCTGTCATACAAACCCATTGCCTCATTAGAAAACGAGGTCAGGTTAGCTCGTCAAGACTGTTCTACTACTGGTGATCATCTAAGCCTGTGGACAGTGACAGCCGAGAAGTGCCTTTTCCCCACTACTTGTGATTATAAATCCCAATTAGAAAAGAGAATAGTTTGATAGCAGTAACCATGTAAACGTAACATAAGATATAAACGTAGATGTGACATACTTCCAATGGAACACATCTGCATCTGTTTTCTATAGCACTGCGTGGATTGGCATTAATCATGTCCTCCTCCTTTTAATTCCTTCCTGGTAGGCGAACCTAGCTTCAGTGACCTACGTTATCCTGCTTGCCCTGACAGCACGGTCACACAACATGAGCTACGGCTGAGAAGGAAGTAGCTGTGGACATGAGAGACTCACCACTCCCATTATGTCATTTTCTAAAACAAAGTTTCTGTGTGATTTAAGTGCTGCTATTGCTGCCCCTGTAATACAGGCAGGACACAAAGATTTGTGCCTCAACAGACTCTGTCTCTTGATCCCTATTCAAACCTAAAGAGCATGGGATTAAGCCAATGGGACACTGTGTATTTCCAGAGTAATATACAGTCATCCATAAAGGAGACGTGCAGCCTCCAAATTTAAACTATTAAAAAGTGGAATACAAAAAAAAAAAAAAAGAAATAATAGTTCATTTGAAATTTTTGGTTACGAAAAAAAAGGAAAAACACAGACAAATCCACCTTCCCACCAACCCTCATTTCAGAAATGGTCCGAGACGTGAAGTCCCCTACGTAGGACATACGTGTCCCTGAATCAGGAAAAAGCAAATGTGCCCAGGGAGCCCGAGAGAGGCTGGCAGCAACAGCTCCCCAACGCACAGCTTTGGGAGTCGCCACGTTCAAGGACGGACTTGGGACATCTCTGTTACAGCTTAATTCTTAATTAATTAATTAAGCATTAATTCTTAATTCTCTGTCAGCACCAGAGAAAGTCTGATGTCAGGAAACCATAGTTTAGAACTCACACAGACATTGAGGACTTGGTTACATGTGTGAAGGTGGCAGAGCTTGGTAATAGCCCCTTGCCTGGCTAAATGACAAATGTTCATCAAGTTCCAAGACTGGTTTACACTAGATATTTGGGTGGTAGGAAGGCTGGTGTGGACAGGGGGTTCAAGTAGCCCTCCTGACACCCTTCTGCCCTCTGGCCCTGCTTGGAACAGACACGTGATTTGCCCCTTGCCTGGTGAGACACACGTGATGGGCCCTGTAGCAAGAAGGTTCTGTGACACAGACCATTTGGAGGTGGTTGGAGTATGGGAGCGGTGCTGCCTGGGGAGGAAGGCTTGAAACAGAGGAATGCCTGAAAGCCCTGACAGACTTCACGCTTGCTAAGCCATGCTATACTTTCACGAGGACACTCTATACCATCATGAAACAGATTGCTGGCAAAAGCAGTTGTCCTGCCTTCTCCCTGCCCATGTTACTTGTTCTTACTTTTCTTGCCTCTCCCTCTCCCCCAAACAGCTATTTTCTAACCCAGGTCAGTTCTCCTGACATAGGGAAAGGGACAACAACGAGACAGGAATGAGGAGGCCAAAGCAGGAGGAGAGCAAGACAGCTGCTTTCCCTGGCACTGCCAGGTTAAAACAGCCACAGAACTCTGGCTTAAACTAGAGGTCAACTTGTTATTCGAGGCAGACCAATCTCTCAAGGAGCTCGGTTTTAATGCACATCCTAAAGCCAGTCTTCCCCTTGGCAGTGACTGAGCACATCCGAAACTCCGACCACTTCTCCAAGGTACCCAGAAAATCACCAGTCTAGGTGACCCCCGACTTCAAGCCATTTCTTGCGCACGAGGAGCCCTCAGAGCGCCGCAGAGTTTTCCCACCCCAGAAGGTAACAACGGGCGAGGAGTCACCGCCGGGTTTCCCAACAGTGTCTGGACATGGTCCCTTCGTGGGCTCGACGCCTCCAAGCAGCGAGCTTTGCGGTCCCTGAGGAAAGAGCAGGGGGGGAATGGGAAGCCGATCCCACCCCGTCCTCC